AAAGCACTCAATCAAGCAACCCATGCTGAAGCAGATCCAAATAACATATTGATTTGAAGTAAAAGCTGTCCCTTTTCCTTAAAATGAAGTTAAAGTTATTTACGTTGTGGGTAGTTAAATCTCCTGTCAAAATATAATAAGAAATATATGTGACCTAAGTATAAAATAGGCTACTTATGGATAATGATTAGTTTATTTTTCGATTTAACATATTATATAATAAACTTGTTAAAAAATTATTATTTTTTAATTTAAAATTAAAAACAAATAAACTTAAAAATGTAATCATGTATACAATATGCATGAACCAACTAAATTAGTTATATTTATATTATATTTTAATAAATGAACCAATTAAACATTGAAAAATGTGTTAAACCAGAAATTATAAATTATTTTTTGTTACTTTATCTATTGTGCTTTTTTTTTTTTGTTTGAAAGGTAAAAAAACTTTTTATTATTAGAGGACAAGGGTACTCAACCTATGTACATTATCGTCCATGTAACTTTATAGCCATTGACAAAGAACTTGGAGGTGCTCTTGTATTAATATATCATGAAGGGTTGTTCGGCTCTCATAAATTTATGCCTTTCAAGTTGAAATGTTTATAGGTTTGAGATACTCCTTATACTTCGGTTTTTAATAAAAGTTACTTTTTGCTGTTCAAAAAAAATAAAAAAAATAAACACTTTATAGCCATTGTAACCATGGGTTTCTCAAAATTCTTGACCTCCGGTTTGTGCTATCAAGCATCTACGTACGAGGATTGACCCTCCATTCTTCAAGGGAGTAAGGCCAGCCTTCTTTGTAGCCCTTAATCCGTTCGTGAGACAGAATTTGTGCCATTCGAAAAACCTCATCCGCGGATATCTGTTTCTTGTTGAGCACAACATTATTCCTTGCTATCAAGCACCTGCTTTATCCATTCCGCATTAGTTTTATATAGGTTACAAGCCTTATGTTAAAGTCCATAAATCTAATTTTCACATGTTATTATAGGCTATATATATTCTTTGTCAAACCCATTGTTAACCCATGTGATAGGGCTTGAATTAATTCATATCAGACCTGCACATAAAGGAACATACATTAAACCATATGACAAGATATTTATATTGGGCATTTATATTGGGCTTGCATGGGAAGAGGTGCGTTGGTGGTAAAATTTCATATCGAAACATAACAATAATCACACATGGAACTTAAATACAGAGATAATTACTTCATTTATTATTAATTAATTTTAAATTAAATGTAAATCTTATATTAAAACTCACATATACCTAATTTTCACACGTAACCAACTTTGCCGGTTGTCGTCTGGGAATAACCTAGTCCTAACATTGATCATTTGAGTTCGAACAAAGCTGTCTGAATTATTGTATACTACATTGTGGATAACTTTTTAAATTTGTTATTTTTAAAAATTATATTAGTATTTAATAATTATTTTTTCAAAATGTTAATTTCTGTAAAGTTATTAAAGCATACAAAACATTAATTATAAACTGTAACTCCTTAGTGCTGTTTATTGTGATCATTTCGTGGTTTTTGGTTTCGTTTTTTGACGTCATAATTATAATGATTTTAGGTATATAATTATAATGTATTATTAAATAAATTATTATATATAATATTAACTATGATTGGATATCTAAGTAAAAGAAATTAATTATAAAATGACACAATATGATTATAAATTTGTAATATCATGTGACATTTTAATTATATCATTTTTGTTCGTAAATTGTATGAGAATTACATTGAGTTGGAGTTCTTCTACTGCCCTTAATAAATTTTATTTTGCAAAAAGAAGAAGAAGAAGAAGAAAACCTTAATTAAAATTAGTTTAGTCATAATAATGCACCTCTAATTACTCTCTTACACTCTCTATTCCAAAATAACTGTGATTTATCGATTTTTTTCTTAATTTAAGTATTTAGGGACAATAATTATATCTATCTATAATACCTTTAAAAAATATATTATAGATAGATATAATTATTGTCCCTAAATACTTAAATTAAGAAATAAAAATAAAGAGAGATATTTTGTGATTGATGATTAATTAAAATAAATAAATAATGATAGTGTTAAAATAGAAAAAAATATTTATATATCTTAAAAAATAAAAAATAAATTAATTTAAAACAAATCCAAATTTCAGAATAGAGGGAGCAGTAAGTATTGATACGTTTTTATTATTTGGACAGTTAAACTATCTCTAGATCAAATTTTACATAATTTAAAATTAATCTCTTTCATATAAATTTAGAGCTATTCTCGATGATATTTTGGTGCATTTAATAAAAATTAATTTTTTTAAATAGGAGGTAAGAATATCTCTGCACCTGCTCTAATGGCACCGAAAATTTTCATTATAGATAGTTGGTTTGGATTAGATAATGTAAAATTTGAAGTGTGACTGCAGGGCTACTGGCAGCCTCAGTTGCGTGTGGCCTGAAAATGCATTATCTTATTTTGCCAGTAATATTGTTCCCATTTGTGTTCTAATTAATCATTTCTAATGAAAGAATATTTTACGGTTCAACCTGCACTACATTACAAAATATAAATTATTAAATTAAGAGAGAAATTTTTGTTATTTGGAGAAGACCCTCTAATCCATAGTTAGTACTTCGCAGTTTCAATTGCAAAACACTAGACTTAAGCTATTAATAACTACTTGCCGCTAGAGTACAATGCAAGAAAATTTGAGAAGCAACTTGTACTTTGAATAAAAAATGTTGATCAAATAAGGAATTTACCCTATATCAAAATAAAAATCCAAATATCATATATTAGTGAAGTTCAAGGCTATCACTTTGCGAAGGTTGCTTGGGGGGTGTTGAGAGGGAAAGAAAAGAAAGGTTAAAGTTGTTAATAACTTATTGAAAAATGATTAATAAATATTTAGTTCAACACATTTTTTGATATTCGTCTCAGCTCAAGTATTCAAATACAATATAAATACAACCGATTCGGTCGATTCTTATATTCTATATTTATAATTGTATCTTTAAGTTTATATACCTTTACTTTCAAATTAAAAAATAATGATTTTTTAATAAATGTGTTGTGTAATGTGTTAAATCAAAGTGCATATCGATTAGTATCTCAACTTTTTTGTTACTTGAAAGTGACTTTGTCCTATTTTGCTAGTAATATTGATCCCTTTTATTTCTCAATCTTTTCAATTTTTGTTTTCTAATTTTTTTTAAAAATTACTACAAGTACATATTTTTGGTACGCAACTCCTCGAATGACAAACTATATATTTGGTCAAGATATTGATATAGATAATTTTTAGTTCAACATATTTTACAATACATTTATTAAAAAATTATTATTTTTTATATTTAAATTAAAGGTGAGAAAACTTAAAGTTATAGATTTGAATGACTAAACTAATGGGTGTTAGGCGGAATATTGAACTGGAGGATGTATCAATCATTTTTCATCTGGCCAACTACTAAATTGCTTTGCTAGGACTACAAGTAAAGATTGAGAAGCAATTTGTACTTCGAATAAAAAATTGTGGACTACAA